ACACATGCGCGCACAGACATGCGAAACACTCGCGCAAAACACACGCACACACATACACACACACACACACACGCACAGACACAGACACAGACACAGACACAGACACAGACACAGACACAGACACAGACACAGACACAGACACAGACACAGACACACACACATGCACACACACATACACAAGTACCAAAAAAACATAAAGACACGGACAGAGTTTGAACCTTTCCCCTCGCTGCCAAGGGGGTGAGAGGTGAGGCGATGTTTTCTTTGGAGGTCGATCGGGCCCTCGCCGGGCCTGGAAGTCGAACCTCCGATGCTTCGTCTACCGCGCTCGTGCGCAGTAGGCGCGTCGTGCGTCACGCAACGTGTTGGCTGAACTGCACCCGCCCTTCCCCATCAAAGACAGGAAAAACCAAAGCAGGAAGAAGGCCCCCCCTAATCTTGCAGGTTTACAGTGCCACGGGAGGGCCTCCAGAAATGATGCAAGAGTTCGGTTCTCTGTGCGTTGCAGATATGTGAGTCGTTCCGGCTCCTCGCGGTGCGAGTCGTTGGGGCCCCTCGCCCTCCCTTGTGTGAGTCCTTCGGGCCCCTCATTGTGTGTGAGTCGTTCGGGCTCCTCGTGGCGTGAGTCGTTCGGGCCCCTCGTCCTGGTGTGCGTCGTTCGGGCCCCTCCTTGTGTGTGAGTCGTTCAGGCTCCTCGTGGTGTGAGTCGTTCGGGCCCCTCGTCCTGGTGCGAGTCGTTCGGGCGCCTCCTTGCGTGTGAGTCGTTCGGGCTCCTCGTGGTGTGAGTCGTTCGGGCCGCTCGTCCTGGTATGAGTCTCTCGGGCCCCTCCTTGTGTGTGAGTCGTTCGGGCTCCTCGTGGTGTGAGTCGTTGGGGCCCCTCGTCCTGGGGTGAGTCGGTCGGGCTCCTCGTGGGGCCTCTTGGGGGCCTCTTGGAGCCTCTTGGGGGCCTCTTGGGGGCCTCTTGGGGGCCTCTTGGGGGCCTCTTGGGGGCCTCTTGGGGCGTCTTGGGGCCTCGTGGGGGCCTCTTGGGAGCCTCTGGGGGGCCTCTTGGGGCCTCTTGGGGGCTTCTTGGGGGCCTCTTGGAGGCCTCTTGGGAGCCTCCTGGGGGCCTCTTGGGGCCAGCTTGGGGCATCTTGCGACATCCTCAGAAGCGCGAGCTCTGAGTTCCGTGATTCCTCAGATCTGTTCGAGGGGACCGATCTCGGAGGCGAGTTTCACCTTCTGCTCCTCTTCCACCTCTCCCTCCTAAGCTGCCGCCCTCTGCCCGCGCCCGACTGGATGGGCGAACCTGCCTTTCAGGTGCAGCTCAGAGCTGCGAGCCTGAGCAGGGTAGTCACTTGCGCCGCGTGCGCACTGAGGAGCTGGACAGGAAAGATCGCTGGATCGTCGACGCCGTCGTCCATTCAATCGTCGTCGTCGAAGTCGGCGTTGTCATCGTAAGCGCGGTCGCCGTCGTCGTCGGCGTCGTCGCCGCCATCATCGTCTGAGAAGTCGCCGTCACGTGAGTCGTCTGAGTCGGTTAGGTGTAGGACTCGAGGAGTACCGCCTTCTGTTTTGGCCCCCATCGCCTTCTCTCCCTCCTCTTCCTCCTCGTGAGCTCGCTCAACAATATAGATGTAGGAAGATAGAAGAAGAGGCAAGAGGAAGAAGAGACAGGGGATATGGGCGAGGGCACGCGGAGACACGCCTGGAGCACCCCACGGTCGGCATGCTTCGCTAGAGTAGTAGTGGTGGTAGTAGTATTGGTAGTTATAGTGTAGTAGCAGTACGAATAGTATTAGTAGGAGTAGTAGTAGTAGTAGTAGTAGTAGTAGTAGTAGTAGTAGTAGTAGTAGTAGTAGTAGTAGTAGTAGTAGTAGTAGTAGTAGTAGTAGTAGTAGTATGAGTTGTAGTAGAAGTAATATTAGTATGTGTCGTAGTAGGAGGAGTAGGAGTATGAGTATGAGTAGTAGTAGTAGTAGTAGTAGTAGTAGTAATAGTAGTAGTAGTCGTAGTCGTAGTCGTAGTCGTAGTCGTAGTCATAGTAGTAGTAGCAGGTACCAGCTGTAGTAGTCGTAGCTCTAGATATAGCAGAAGTAGGAATCGTCGTAATACCAGTAACAATACCAGTAGTAGTACCCGTGCAAGTAGTAGTGGTAGTAGCAGTAGTAGTACGAGTATTGGTAGTGGTAGTACGAGAAGCAGCACGAGGCATAGCACTAGCAGTAGCAGTACCAGTAGCAGTGGCAGTGGCAGTCGTTCGGGCTCTTCGTGGTGTGAGTCGTTCGGGCCCCTCGTCCTGGCGTGAGTCGTTCGGGTTCCTCGTGGGGTCTATTGGGGGCGTCTTGGAGCCTCTTGGGGCCTCTTGGGGGCCTCTTGGGGGCCTCTGGGGAGCCTCTTGGGAGTCTCTTGGGCCCTCTTGAGGCCTCTTGGGGGCCTCTGGAGAGGCTCTTGGGGGCCTCTTGGGACCGCTTAGGGGCTTCTGGGGGGCCTCTGGGAGGCCTCTTGGGGGCCTCCTGGGTGCCTCTTGGGGCCATCTTGGGGCCTCGTGCGACCTCCGCAGAAGCGCAAAGGAGAGCTGCCCCCTGAAAAGAACAAATTGAGCCCAAAACCTTCGTAAAATCAATGATTTTGCTATGAGGGAAAATGAGCGCGGCCCCCCTCCGGACGCCAAAATGAAGCCAAAACTGTAGTAAAATCAATGATTTCTGCTTCAAAGACGAGCAGAGGGGCCAAACTCCGTCCCCCCGTCGGGGCCAGAATCCTCGTGAGGGTCGTCGTTTGTTGGCCCTCCCAGGAGTCGAAAAAGACCCCCCTGACACCGCTTGGGACTCCCTCTCCAGGCCCAGGGGGAGGGGGTAGGGGGAGGGGTAAACCCCTCCCCGAAGGGGAAGAAGGGGGGTTGAGAACAGAGCGGGCTCTCTAAACCACTCACGCCCAAAGGGCTGGAGATTGGCTTCGCCTAAGGCGAAGCTGTTGGCTGGGCCCCCCAGCCCCCTTCAAACTTGCCCCCCCCCCCCCCACCCACCCACACCACCACCGCCACCACCGCCACCACACACACACACACCTACCCCCAGGAGGCCAACATGTGACCAGCACGTTTTTGTAGAATCATTGGTTTGGGTTTCCTCACCGAGGCCATTTTGGACGCTCCAACGACCCGCAAGCCGCCACCTCCAGACCCAGAGGGAGAGGGGAGGCGAGGGGTAAGCCTCTCCCCGAAAGGGAAGAAGGGGGGGTTGGAATAATAAACTTTCTGAACCGCTCACACCCTCAAGGGCTGGTGGGATTTCTCCACCGTTTCCTCCTCCTCGGTCTTGTCCCGTCGAGGTGGGAGGAGCACCGGCCTCGCACGGCACAGACCCATCGGCCGCTGCGGGGATGACGACGACAGCGCTCGTGTGTGTTCTGGGCGGGGTGACTTCAGTACTTGTCTTGAACCGTGCAGCAGCGGGCATCCAGCGACCCCTTCTTCCTCCCGCCGCAGCCTTTTGCTCCAAGCCTTCACCAGTTGGCACAACGCTGCCTTGCCGCCGCAGTCGCGCCCCGCCGTTGCAGGAGATGGCCCGCCTGGTCTTCGCACTCGCCGCCCTCCTGCTCGCCGGCCAGGGCTGCGCACCCGTCGAGGGCACGACCACCGTCGCGGAGGAGCGGCGCCTGGAGACCACCGAGAGCCCGGAGCCGTCCACATCGGAGCCCCTGTCGGCGGCGCCCCGCACGGGCGGCCTGGCTCCGCTGATGCTGGCGCTCCTCGCGCTCCTGCTCTCCGGCAACGGCTGCACGGCCCTGGACGGCACCACCACCCTCGCGGAGGAGCGGCGCCTGGAGACGACCGAGAGCCCGGCCCCGTCCACCTCGGAGCCCGTGTCCGCGGCGCCCTGCGCGAGCGGCCCGGGCCCGATGATCGTCCTCGGCGCGGCGCTGTGCCTGGGTGCCAGGCGGTGAATGGCGGTGAGCTCTGGGGCGGGCCTCGCAGCAGCGCTGTATCATCTCAAGGTCTGTGCCCTCTGCCGCCGGCACCCCAGGCTGAGCCATCGTGCTGCCATGCTGGAGCAGTTTTGGGGCCACCTTGAGGCCTCTCGGGGGTGGCACTCGGGGGCCACCTCCGGGCAATCTTAGGGAACCCGAGGGCTCTCTCTTGGGGCCCGTCTTGGGACCACCTTGCGGCCTTGTCGGGTCACCCTTGGCGATCTGGCTTTCATCGTGGGGCCCTCGGGGGGCCCACCCTGGGGCCGTCGTGGGCGATCCCGGGACGTCTCGGGAGCACAGCGTGCGACATGCAACAGGCACTGGGGTTGCGAGCGGTGCTCCACTTTCGTTTGCCCTCCCAGGGGCGTCCTGGGGCCACCTTCGAGGCACCTTCGAGGCCATCCTCGGCCGCATGGGGCTCTTCGGGCCCTCTTCGGGGCCTCCTGCGGCCGTCCTGGAGGACTGAAAGCAGCCTAGAGCGGCCAGAGATGGCCGACGCGCAGCCCCAGGGCGTCCTTTTGCAAAGTGGAGCCAGGAGAGGCAGAAGCCAGGAGGCAGAACAGAAGAAAGCAAGACCAGCAGGCCAGCAGAACCTCACGCAGCCATGCGCCCCTTCAAGGGGGCTGGTGGACTTCCCCACGAGCGCCGCCCGCCCGAGGCGCCGCCGACCGCCCGCGTGCAAGAGGCTGCGCGGGTGCGGCAGCTGCCAGTGCCGTCGACGGGCGGGAATCACCGCCTCGCAGGCTTGAGAGTTTCACCGTGTGGACCCATCACGCTGCACCCGCCGGCGTTGTGTCCACTTGTTGCCGCACTCGTGCGGCATGAATTTCGGAGAGCTTCCTAGACGGTACCTCCCCGGTAGGCGGACCTCAAGTGCTGTTCGTGCGAGGCGGCCCCGTTGAAAAGAGCAGCACGGCAAGCGGCAAGGTCAGCAATCACGGTTCGTCCGCTTCCTCTTATTTCTCCACCGTTTCCTCCTCGGTCTTGTCCCGTCGAGGTGGGAGGAGCACCGGCCTCGCACGGCACAGACCCATCGGCCGCTGCGGGGATGACGACGACAGCGCTCGTGTGTGTTCTGGGCGGGGTGGCTTCAGCACTTGTCTTGAACCCTGCAGCAGTGAGCATCCAGCGACCCCTTCTTCCTCCCGCCGCAGCCTTTTGCTCCAAGCCTTCACCAGTTGGCACAACGCTGCCTTGCCGCCGCAGTCGCGCCCCGCCGTTGCAGGAGATGGCCCGCCTGGTCTTCGCACTCGCCGCCCTCCTGCTCGCCGGCCAGGGCTGCGCACCCGTCGAGGGCACGACCACCGTCGCGGAGGAGCGGCGCCTGGAGACCACCGAGAGCCCGGAGCCGTCCACATCGGAGCCCCTGTCGGCGGCGCCCCGCACGGGCGGCCTGGCTCCGCTGATGCTGGCGCTCCTCGCGCTCCTGCTCTCCGGCAACGGCTGCACGGCCCTGGACGGCACCACCACCCTCGCGGAGGAGCGGCGCCTGGAGACGACCGAGAGCCCGGCCCCGTCCACCTCGGAGCCCGTGTCCGCGGCGCCCTGCGCGAGCGGCCCGGGCCCGATGATCGTCCTCGGCGCGGCGCTGTGCCTGGGTGCCAGGCGGTGAATGGCGGTGAGCTCTGGGGCGGGCCTCGCAGCAGCGCTGTATCATCTCAAGGTCTGTGCCCTCTGCCGCCGGCACCCCAGGCTGAGCCATCGTGCTGCCATGCTGGAGCAGTTTTGGGGCCACCTTGAGGCCTCTCGGGGGTGGCACTCGGGGGCCACCTCCGGGCAATCGTAGGGAACCCGAGGGCTCTCTCTTGGGGCCCGTCTTGGGACCACCTTGCGGCCTTGTCGGGTCACCCTTGGCGATCTGGCTTTCATCGTGGGGCCCTCGGGGGGCCCACCCTGGGGCCGTCGTGGGCGATCCCGGGACGTCTCCCCCGCCGTCGGGAGCACAGCGTGCGTCGCTCAACAGGCACTGGGGTGCGAGCGGTGCTCCACTTTCGTTGACCTCCCAGGGGAGTCCTGGGGCCACTTTCGAGGCACCTTCGAGGCCATCCCGGCCGCATGGGGTCTTCGGGCCCTCTCTGGGGCCTCCTGCGGCCCGGTCCTGGAGGACTGAACAGCCAGCCTAGAGCGGCGCGACGATGGCCGACCGCAGCCCAGGGGCGTCCTTTTGCAAAGTGGAGCCAGGAGAGGCAGAAGCCCAGGAGGCAGAACAGAAGAAAGCAAGACCAGCACCCCCGGCCAGCAGAACCTACGCAGCCATGCGCCACTTCAAGGGGGGATGGGGGACTTCCCCACGAGCGCCGCCCGCCCGAGGCGCCGCCGACCGCCCGCGTGCAAGAGGCTGCGCGGGTGCGGCAGCTGCCAGTGCCGTCGACGGGCGGGAATCACCGCCTCGCAGGCTTGAGAGTTTCACCGTGTGGACCCATCACGCTGCACCCGCCGGCGTTGTGTCCACTTGTTGCCGCACTCGTGCGGCAAGAATTTCGGAGAGCTTCCTAGACGGTACCTCCCCGGTAGGCGGACCTCAAGTGCTGTTCGTGCGAGGCGGCCCCGTTGAAAAGAGCAGCACGGCAAGCGGCAAGGTCAGCAATCACGGTTCGTCCGCTTCCTCTTATTTCTCCACCGTTTCCTCCTCGGTCTTGTCCCGTCGAGGTGGGAGGAGCACCGGCCTCGCACGGCACAGACCCATCGGCCGCTGCGGGGATGACGACGACAGCGCTCGTGTGTGTTCTGGGCGGGGTGGCTTCAGCACTTGTCTTGAACCCTGCAGCAGTGAGCATCCAGCGACCCCTTCTTCCTCCCGCCGCAGCCTTTTGCTCCAAGCCTTCACCAGTTGGCACAACGCTGCCTTGCCGCCGCAGTCGCGCCCCGCCGTTGCAGGAGATGGCCCGCCTGGTCTTCGCACTCGCCGCCCTCCTGCTCGCCGGCCAGGGCTGCGCACCCGTCGAGGGCACGACCACCGTCGCGGAGGAGCGGCGCCTGGAGACCACCGAGAGCCCGGAGCCGTCCACATCGGAGCCCCTGTCGGCGGCGCCCCGCACGGGCGGCCTGGCTCCGCTGATGCTGGCGCTCCTCGCGCTCCTGCTCTCCGGCAACGGCTGCACGGCCCTGGACGGCACCACCACCCTCGCGGAGGAGCGGCGCCTGGAGACGACCGAGAGCCCGGCCCCGTCCACCTCGGAGCCCGTGTCCGCGGCGCCCTGCGCGAGCGGCCCGGGCCCGATGATCGTCCTCGGCGCGGCGCTGTGCCTGGGTGCCAGGCGGTGAATGGCGGTGAGCTCTGGGGCGGGCCTCGCAGCAGCGCTGTATCATCTCAAGGTCTGTGCCCTCTGCCGCCGGCACCCCAGGCTGAGCCATCGTGCTGCCATGCTGGAGCAGTTTTGGGGCCACCTTGAGGCCTCTCGGGGGTGGCACTCGGGGGCCACCTCCGGGCAATCTTAGGGAACCCGAGGGCTCTCTCTTGGGGCCCGTCTTGGGACCACCTTGCGGCCTTGTCGGGTCACCCTTGGCGATCTGGCTTTCATCGTGGGGCCCTCGGGGGGCCCACCCTGGGGCCGTCGTGGGCGATCCCGGGACGTCTCGGGAGCACAGCGTGCGACATGCAACAGGCACTGGGGTTGCGAGCGGTGCTCCACTTTCGTTTGCCCTCCCAGGGGCGTCCTGGGGCCACCTTCGAGGCACCTTCGAGGCCATCCTCGGCCGCATGGGGCTCTTCGGGCCCTCTTCGGGGCCTCCTGCGGCCGTCCTGGAGGACTTTTGGACCCTTTCGGGCCCCATGTGTTCCCCGTTGGCGGCCCAACACGAGTCCGAAAGCAGCCTAGAGCGGCCAGTGGTGGCCGAGGCGCAGCCTCAAGGCGTCTTTTTCACAACCATTCTGTGATGTTGGGTCGTCGTTTTGAATCAGCAGCACCCCGCGTCACCTCCCTCGTCATCGCCATCGTCATCGACAACATCACATTCACGAGCGTTACCAACAACAACAACCACGACAACAACAGCGTCATCATCACCCACCATCACCATCACCATCACCATCACCAGCATCATCATCATCATCATCATCATCATCATCATCATCATCATCATCATCATCATCATCATCATCATCATCATCATCATCATCGTCATAATCATAATCATAATCATAATCATAATCATAATCAGCATCATCATCATCAACATCATCATCATCATAGCGCTGCCGTGTTGCTCAGGTCCTTCTAGCAGCGCGGCGCCCGTTCCATCTGCACAGTGCAGGTGGCACACACTCCGCAGGCCATTGCGCATGATGAAGTCCTAGCCTCGATGGCAGGAGATTAACTGGCCGCTCACGCCGCAGACGGGCGCAGGAGGATGGAGGCTACGACGTATACAATACAATCCTCAAGCTCTGCCACTACGCCGCAACCTCTCGGACGTGTTGGCCGAGTTCTCGTCTGCACATGTGGTTTCATTGACGGGTACATGTCAGAACGTGAAGCACCTCTCGTATGACCAATCTCTTTCTTTTGCAGGGAGACGTGTGAATAAATGGCAGGTTTGGCAGTGGCCTACGGAGGCCATCAAATCTACGAGCCGACGACGTACACGCAAGATGGGCACGAACACCTCCGCAGGCTGTATGATTGCTTTGGACAGGACAGTCTTCCGTAACCATCGTCGAGTTCGGACCTGGGAGACCCCCAAGGGTTTACAAGGACGTGGCGGCGCTGTACGGTACAAATGGGCTATGCAGTATGACCTTTGTTTTCGGAATATATATATATATATATATATATATATATATATATATATATATATATATATATATATATCTCATATTTGGGCCCCATGATGAGGCAGGGCGATTATGGAAACGTGAATTGCTCAGCTGGATTTCAGAAGTTCTGGGCTCGTTGCCGGCCCATTGTGTACCGATCTTGCTCTGCGACGGCAACTTTCACTGTGGGTATGAACGTGTTGGATCTAGATTACATAATATGCCTGAGGGAGCTGCCGTGGGACGTGCTTGCCCTGAGGCCGAAACGGTGTCAGGTACGCTGTGGATGTTTTTGTTGAACCAACATCATTTGGCGCTGGTGAATACACACGTTTATGAGGAAGCGGGCCCCACGTTTTTCGGGTCGGGCAATTCCAAGACGCGGGTTGACTACATTGCGGTCCCCAGGAATGCTATGAATCGAGTTGAACAAATCTAGGTGTGGTATAGAACTGGTTTCGAACTTCAGCTGTGTAAACCGATATGCGCAGCATCAAAACACATTAATCATCGCCCAGTGGTTATGGATATTCGTTGTGCAGATTGGCACGAAGAGGAGGAGCAGAATTCTACCCGCTGGAATCGGGACCGAATCATGTCGGACTGGCTTCGGGCTGAAGATAGCCGTATACGGTTCGTGAATGAGGTGGAACGATGGGCCAGTTCCGATGAGGTATGTAATGAGATGAGGACTCACTGTAGGAACGGTTCTGTCGACGCAGCTTGGCAGTTGTTGAACCAGGGCCTGTGCGATCTCGCCGTTGCTCGCTATGGAAACACTGCGCAAACTTACTGTCCGTTTTCCATTGGCAGGTGACACTCAGACCGTATACCAGAGGTACAAAGCTTTGCGATCAGGAATGTGGCGACGACGGCGTACTCCTGCCGAAGACCCAGCATCGAGTGTGCAGCTGAATGAGGAATTTGTTGAGGTCCCGAAACGGCTCCGCAAACTTCGCAGACGAGACTTTCGACGTGCACAGGACGGATGGGCTGCCGAATTAGAGACGGCAGAAGCTCAACATCATTGGCGGGACGTGTGGAGACTCAGTAGAAACATAGCAGGCACGCAGCTTGGCCTCAAGAAGCGGCAGGTTCTTCTTTCGTCGGCGCAACCTCCAACTTGCCAGACTGGATTGACTACATGGGTCTGCTTGGAGCAGAAGGCGGAATGCGCGTGCGCGCGTCTCTGGTGCTCCGAGGGCCACGGGGGCACAGTCTTTATCAGCTTCAAGATGTTGCGACTTTAATTCGTGATGTGCCGCATGCTCCTCAGGAGCGTCAGCGAGCTCTCGCAGCTCTTGAGCCCAGGTACTTCGAGGACCCATCTTCAGGATCCGAGTTGCCTTCAGGATCTGAATCACGCCCAGGAGTTGAATTGCTTGCAGGATCTGAGTTACTTAGGGGATCTCAATTACCTCCAGGATCTGAATTACCGCAAGGATTTGAATTACGTCCTTGATCTGAATTGCCTCCAGAACCTGAATCGCGTCCAGGAGTTGAATTGCATCCAGGATCTGAATTACATGAGGGATCTGAAACACCTCCAGACGGGGAACCTAGGCCACCTTTCCTTTTCTTCGGGACAACATGAGGAAGCTCTTCGGGACCTCTGGGGCACTACTCGAAGTCTGAACAGAAGAAGGCAAAAGCTCGTGAACAAGTTCCTGCCTGGTCAATACCTCGGGAAATCTGGCCGACGCGTCAGAGGGCGCCGCAACAGGCAACCAGAGATCCTCCTGAGGCCGAACGACGTTTCTTACGTGAAGGTTTCTTCTACAGCTTGATCATGCAGGTTGTCATAACTATTAGACGCATCCAGGACACCCCTAATATCTGGCATGTAAGCGAGGCTT